AGAGAGGTTCTCTGCCTTTCTTGCATACTGGGGCTTCACTCACTTTTGTCAGCCTGTGTTCTTCTTCCTGGTATCTGGGTATCCTTTATGATTCTACTGGGTTTCTGCTTTCCTTCCTGAATTAAAGCTTGTAGAGTTGATTGCTTTTTTTTTTTTTTTTTTTTTTTTTTTGAGACAAAAATGACCTAGATCACCCTATGACCTAGGCTAGAGTGCTGTGGCATGGTTATGACTCACTGCAGACTCGGCCTCCCAGGTTCAGGTGATTCTCCTGCCTCAGTGTCCAGGGTAGCTGGGACTACAGGTGCACACTACCATGTCTGGCTGATTTTTTTTTTTTTTTTTTTTCAGAGACGGGATTTTACCATGTCATCCAGGCTGGTCTTGAACTCCTAAGTTTAAGCGAAGCAATCCACCCACTTTGGCCTCCCCAGATGGTGGGATTACAGGCTTGAGCTAACATGCCCTACCCACAGTTGATCTTTATACACTATCTTGGTATTTCCAAGTGGCTGAGGCATGCTAAAAGTCTCTAATTCACCATGTTGGGGGGGGGAAAAAGATGCCACATTACCTTTATCATTCACTTTATTTTTCTCTGTCACACATATACATTATACATACTGTTTTCCTAAAATATTTGAGAGTAGTTTGCATACTTCATACTTTTTTTTTTTTTTAAGACAGTTTCACCTTGTTGCCCAGGCTGGAGTACAGTGGCACGATCTTGGCGGACTGCATCATCAGCCTCCCAAGCAGCTGATACTACAGGCGCGTACCCAGGCCCAGCTAATTTTGGTGTTTTTGGTAGAGACAGGGTTTCACCATGTTGGCTAGGCTGGTCTCAAACTCCTAACCTCAGGTGATCCACCCACTTCAGTCTCCCAAAGTGCTGGGATTACAGGTGTGAGCCATTGCACCTCCCCACCCTTTTACCTTTTAATATTTCTGTGTTTCTTAAGAACAAAGGTGTTCTTTTATGTATTAATAACTACAGGAAATTGTCACATTTAGGAAATTGATACAGTAATCTACAGTCTGTATTCCAATTTTGTGATTTACCAGTAATATCCCTTAAAGCATTTACTACCATCTGATACAGGACCTTTAGTTGTCATATTTCTTGCATTTCCTTTAAATTGTAATAGTTCTTCTGCTTTTCTCATAACATTGGCATTTTTTGAAGAATATATTGAATGTTCCTCAGATTAGGTTTTTCCATGTCCTTGAGATTAGATTTCAGTTATGGGTTCCCAGTTCAACTTCTTGTCAGTGATGACGTGTCTTTCCCAGAGTATTGTCACATCCAGAGGCACATGATGTCTCTTTTCCTCATTGGTGATAATAATTTTGAGCTACTCAGTTAAGGGATTGCCCAGTTCTTCATAGTATAGTTACTTATTTTTTTTTTCTTGTAACTAATAAGCAGTCTGTGAGGAAAAACTTTTTGTTTTTTTACTTTTTCCTAATTAATGCCTTTGTAAAAAATTTAAAAATATATAAGTAAGCTAAAGTCAGGGAAAAATTGTCTTATAAACCTAGACATAACCACATTTTGGTGTACATTAGTACATATCTTTTCTTTATGTTATAATAATAATAATAACCAAAAAGGACTATACCTTAAATACTGTTTGGTAAATTGCTTTACTCATTTAGCAGTATGTTTTAAATATTTTTTTCATGTGTCACTAACTATGATATTTTAATGGCTGCATAGTTTTCCATTATGTAGCAGTCCCTTGCCTATAGAATATACTGTGATGTTCAGTTTAGCCTCACATTCCAGGTACAAGAGATCCCTAATGGCTCTCCCCTAAGGCATAGGGAATCTCTTATACCCAAGAACCTCCAACCATGGAATCTTGATGTCTGCCTTACCCCGTTAGCACTGCCATGTTGTTTTTCTTTTCCACTGTTCCATACTAACACACTGTGTTCCTTTTTCTGACCATTCCTAGGTCCACAGTAGCACACTTTTATCATATATTTAAACCTATTTCTGATTCACTTGGGTTGTTTCATGCTTTAACTGCTAATGTTATATCCGGATGTTGATTTGTTTGTTTGTTTTATTGCAAATATATACGATAATGAATTAAGCGAACTTTTATGGGGTAGTCTTTTGAGTAGAGCATCTGGCCAAAATACCTTCATACCCACCAAAAACAAAAGCACAAAATTTTTGGAGCACAGTTTATCTTTTTATTTGGAAATTCTTTTTCTATTACCTGAATTTCTAGTTAACCTATATTCATATTTTGGGTCAAGTATCTTAGGAGATCTCAGTGCTTGTCTATTAGAATTACTTAGCAAATTATCTTGAGTGAACTTACTAGACAGAAGATAAAGCATAACCTCAAAATGCATTATTTTATAATTTTTCTCCCTTTAATATTTAATCATTTGAAAATCTCTCTTCCCCTACACATTGTTTAGTTTTAAGCTGTTTAGGTATATTGGAAATATAAGCTCTCTGTGTAGATGTGGGACAGTTTACAAATGAATCAGCCCATGCTTTCATAATTTAGTGCAAATGTGACAAAGTTATGTCTGGGAGATTTATGTGTAGAGTCTCTTATTGACTGAAGGCAAGACAATTTTAACAATTTTAAGTGAATGAAGTAACTTTCTTTTTAAACTTTTTTTTTTTTTTTGAGACACTCAGACTGGAGTGCAATGGCATAATCTCGGCTCACTGCAACCTCCACCTCACAGATTCAAGCGATTTCTCCTACCTCAGCCTCCCAAGAAGCTGGGATTACAGGTGCTCACCACCATGCCTAGCTAATTTTTTGTATTTTTAGTTGAGATGTGGAAGTAATGTCTGCTGTTTTATGGACGACAATGTACATAGTGATACTCTGTCTCAAAAAATGTAAAAAATTAGCTGGGTGTGGTGACGCACAACTGTAGTCCCAGCTACTCATAAAGCTGAGGTGGTGGGAGGATTGCTCGACCCCAGGAGTTGGAGGCTGCAGTGAGTTAAGATTGTGCCATGTGTTCCAGCATGCATAACATAGCAAGACCCTGTCTCTTAAAAAAAAATGGCTGCTACGATGTTGGTAGCCATGTTGAAAGATTGTGTCATTTACAGCGCTAAGAAAAGTAAATAAAATATTAAAGCATATATTTGGTATATTTAATGTGAACTTTTCTGTGTGCAAAGTATAGAAAGGTCTTTGAGGCACATACTAAAAGAATAAACCCATGTCTCTGTCTTTTAGAACTTATAGTATTTTTATAGTATCATATAAGCCTCTCTGTTATACTTCAACATTATTCAATACTATTGACATGTACATTTTTAAATAGTCATTAAAAGTTTATTTACTTTAAGGTATGCTTTGCTGTATTTTAAAATAAGAAATGGATTTTAATATGACCTTAATTTTCATGAAGTGCGTGAGTGACAATTTATTTAAAAAGCAGAGAAGGCCAGGTGCGATGGCTCACGCCTGTAATCCCAGCACTTTGGGAGGCCAAGGCCACAGATTACCTGAGGTCAGGAGTTCCAGATCAGCCTGGCCAACGTGGTGAAACTCTGTCTCTACTAAAAATTACAAAACAGTAGCTAGGTGTGGTGACTTGTGCCTATAATCCCAGCCACTCAGGAGGCTGAGGCAGGAGAATTTGTTGAACCTGGGAAGTGGAGGTTGTAGTGAGGTGAGATCATGCCATTGCACGCTAGCCTGGGCAACGAGGAAAATTCTGCCTCATTTAAAAAAAAAAAAAAAGGCAGAGAAAAATGTGATTCTTTATTAATATTGTTTCTGGTCTGTATTACCTTTTTTAAAGTAATAATAAAATTTATATTTTGATATATAAAGTAAGTTAAAGATGTAACTCCTTTAACTAATGAAATTAAAATCTTTTTCTTAGCACTAGGGGGCACCCCTGATTTATAAATTCATGTTATACTTAATCTTGCATAGAAAGTGGAGTGAAATGAAATTATTTGAAAACTATTTTATTGCAAACTGGATTATTAAGTTGGTTTTATTGTATAACAGTATAAATATAAGTTGATTCTTCATAATGAAGCTTATAGAATGAGATAGTTTAGGTGGGAGGAAATTAAAGTATTTTTATGCTTTATTCATTTTCACATTGATTTTTTATGTGGGTGCTTTAAATGGTTTTAAAACTTAATGATTTTGAATATATTTCTGTTTTAAAAGTTCCAGCACAGTGTTCTGCTCTTGGCAGGTGCTTAGGCCATATCTGAATAAATGAAGATAAATTCAAGATGTGACTGAAGCCTGCTATCATTAGGAATAATGTTTAAGCATTTCCAAACTAAGAGCATGTTTTGCTACATCTAGGAAACATATCTTAGCCATTCTCATTGTGTTTGCAATTAGGATTTTTAGTGATGCTCAGCAGCAATCACTTGGCAAAGGTATATTTCTAAGGTTTTGTCTTTATTTAAGAGACTGTTGAATTTAAGCTTTACGGGGATTAAGTAAATAGCAATATCTGCATCATCATTGCATTACATTAATAGCATATTTACCATGGCCCAACACTGTTGTAGGTACTTTGCATATATGAACTCATTTCCCTTCACTACAACTCTGTGAAATAGGTATTTCTTATTATCCCTATTTTATAGTTGAGAAAACTGAGTACAGAAAAGTTAAAATTTCCTGGGTTTACACACAGGTAGTGTGGTTCCAAAATTTGTGCTTTTAAATCACCATATCCTATATGGCTCCAGAGAAAAGAAACTTAGCATTGAATTAATTGACATTTAAAACTCAGTTTTTTGTTTTTGTTTTTTGGGTTTTTTTGAGACAGAGTTTCGCTCTTGTTACCCAGGCTGGAGTGCAGTGGCACGATCTTGGCTCACCGTAACCTCCGCCTCCTGGGTTCAAGCAATTCTCCTGCCTCAGCCTCCGGAGTAGCTGGGACTACAGGCTGGCGCCACCATGCCCAGCTAATTTTTGTATTTTTAGTAGAGACAGGGTTTCACCATGTTGACCAGGATGGTCTCGATCTCTTGACCTCGTGATCCACCCACCTCGGCCTCCCAATGTGCTGGGATTATAGGCATGAGCCACCACGCCTGGCCTAAAACTCAGCTTTTAAAGAGAGCATAGAATACCTAATTTATAGACACATACCATTTCACTTATGAAAAATATCATAGATCTTTAAAGTTGAAAAGAGATCCTAAAGTTTATTTACCTCTACCATTTTACAGAGAGGAAGAAATTTTGTCCTAGAGAGGTAAAGTTACCTACTCCGTTTATATGGGAGGTTATTTTCAAAAAGATATTAGAACTTCAAGTAAGTACTGTGACTTCCAGTAAAGTGGAAAGAAATACTGTATTGTGGAAAGAATATTTGACTAGAATTTTGATGGCTTAAATCTTGTTCTTGGCTCCTTATTTACCATCCTGTGTCCACAGAGGCTCTGTGTTTCTTTGTGTTATATAGGTCTGACATATCTTACCTGATTAGTGTTATTGGTAGTTGTGTAAATCAACATAATGTATTAATGATATTCAATAAACTTTAAAGTCCTATACAAGTAAACATAGTGTGTATCATGTTACAATAAAGCCGCAATATCTGTGGGTTCTATATCTATGGATTCAAACAACTCTGAGTTGAAAATATTTGGGGCATAAAAAAGGGTGGTTGCATCTGTACTGAACATATACAGACTTTTCCTTGCCATAATTCCCTAAACGATACAGCATAACAACTATTCACTTAGCATTGACATTATAGTGTTATGAGTAATCTGTAGATGATTTAAAGTATACAAGAGGATGTGTACAGGTGATATGCAAATACTGCACCATTATATAAGGGCCTTAAGCATCTGTGGATTTTGGTGTCTATAGTGGATCCTGGAACAAATTCCCCATGGGCACTGAGAGATGACTATATTTTTATGACATGTATTCCGTAATATTTTAAGTATTTGTGATACCTTGGTAATCTAGATCACTAGCTGTGATAAGCTTATTCAGTACTGTTGATTTACGGGTGTCATTTGGATCACTAAAAATTTATTGTGTTGTGGTATGAGTTCCTTTGCCATGTGTTGTTTTACACATTTTATTTACTTAAAACTAAGAAATTTGTGCATTTGATTTTTTTCCCTCACAATACCCAGTTAGCAAAAAGTTATGCTTTTGCTTTGCTTATGAAGACCATAACAATAACATCTATTTTGAATACTGCTTGTTTGGTGTTTCTGATTGTTTGAAAATAGCATACAAGATTGTCCTCAATCTGGATTTAGTGGCTTAGCTAAAATAATAAAGAGTTTAGTGAAGTTGAAGTATTTTGTTTCTTGGCATGGTGGTAGGCATGGAGTTGTTTTCTTAAACTTTGAGGAAGACATATGCTTAACTTTTTTATTTTTTACAGGAATAATGTATTTGTGGCCTTGGACATGAGGCAATCAGTCCTCTGTTGCTGTTAACATAAGGTCAGGGACTGATGAGGAAAGCATGGACCTAATGAACGGGCAGGCAAGCAACGTCAATATTGCAGCTACTGCTTCTGAGGTAAGACATTTAAGGAGCTTAGTTATAAAGTTTCTTACCTGACTTTCTAATTTTTCAAGCATTATGTTTGTTCGTATACTTAAATCAGAAGTGCAACACATATTTTAACTTTTACTTTAGTGATTCATGTGTTTGCTCTGCACCATACTCAATCCTTATCTACTTAACTTGAAAAACAATGATAAATAGTGGTAACTCATAAAACTCTTTAGTTTTAAAAGAAACATAGAATTTCTTTTTAGAGTGTTTTTACATTACATCATATTTTGCTTTTGGTTTTGTTTTGATATGGAGTCTTGATCTGTCTCCAGGCGCCAGGCCGGAGTGCAGTGGTGCGATCTCAGCTCACTGCAAGCTCTGCCTCCTGTGTTCAAGCAATTCTCCTGCCTCAGCCTCCTGAGTAGCTGGGACTACAGGTGCACGCCACCACACCCAGCTAATTTTTGTATTTTTAGTAGAGATGGGGTTTCACCATGTTGGCCAGGATGGTCTCGATCTGTTGATCTCGTGATCTGCCCACCTCAGCCTCCCAAAGTGCTGGAATTACAGGCATGAGCCACTGCGCCCGGCCTCTACATCACATCATATTTGAGGGCAATAATGCAAGTAAGGCAAAGAAAGATTCTTGTAGTTCGTATCACTAAATTTTGGACACCATTCAGATCACTTGATTCCATGTATATTAGAGGAAACCAAAGAACTGTTAGGCTGGAATATTGGAAGGGCTTATTCTACTGAATAAGCTAAATGCTTATTATGCTAAACTTAAATAATAAATGCTAAACTTAAATGTAGTTTAGCATTTAAGATGGAGATGTGAAGACTGAACTAGGTGCTCACCCCTCTAGTTAATATATTATGATAGTATTTTTGCCCAAACTTTTTTCTTTTTTTCCTTTGTTTATAAATCTAGGGAACTTGCCTGCTTTCCTTAATAAGTTTAACATCTAGCTTCTATATTTCCTCTTTAATTTTATGTTAGTATATTGGATGAGAATGTTTATAACCCTTTAACACCTTGATCTCAAAGTTCCTTAATAGCCTCAACTCCATTTTGTTCCAGCCAATTACTTAGGCCTTAATATCACTGAAAATATTCTAAGTCCATGTTTTCAATTGTTTTTCTTATGTAGATGATTTCTTTATTTTTATCTCTAGCCCTGGCATCCTTCTTGAATTTTATTAAGCATTTTTGATGGACCAGACATTGGTAATATCCACAAAATCAAGTTTCTTATTACTATTCTGCTCCACAACCATAAAGAAAATAGTCCAAGCCTTTTCTCTAACTTAACATTAATAACATGACATTTCCATAGTCATCTAAGTTTAAATCTTCAGAGGTGGGTGTGTGTGTGTTTTGAGAGAGTTTCGCTCTTGTCACCTAGACTACAGTGCAGTGATGTGATCTCAGCCCACTGCAACCTCTACCTCCCGGGTTCGAGCGATTCTCCTGCCTCAGCCTCCCAAGTAGCTGGGATTACAGGCGCTCGCCACCACGCCCAGCTAATTTTTGTATTTTTAGTAGAGATGGGGTTTCACCATGTTGACCAGGCTGGTTTCAATCTCCTGACCTCAGGTGAGCTGCCTGCGTCGGCCTTCCAAAATGCTGGGATTATAGATGTGAGCCATTGCGCTCGACCGATGTGTTGTTAATTAACTTCATTTTGCCCACCACAACTGTTGTCTCATCATAGCAGAGAGAGTCCGCTAGCAAGACAGAAGTTACAATTTTATGTAATGTGATCATGGAAATGACATCTCATCCCCTTTTCCGTATTCTACTGGTTAGAAAAGAAACAAGTCACAGGTCCTGCCCACACTCAAGGGGAGAGAATCACACAGGGGTGAGAATACCAATAGATGGAGATCTTTAGCAGCTATCTTAGAGCCTGTCCACTGTGCTTTATCTCTGGGATCCAGTGCTTTTCTCCTTATTTCTATTACTATACTACCATCTTAGTTTGGTCATTTATTATTTCTTGTCTAGATTAGTACCATGGCCTTTTAGTCTGGCTGTTGTACTTGTATTCTTTGTTGTTTCTGATCCTTTTCTGAAATTTAGGATTAGTATTCTTAAAATGCAACTCTTAAACTTTATCTTTTCCCAAAACTGTCTGTGGTTCCTCATTGCCTACTAATTAAATTCAAATGCCCCCTTGGCCTTTCATTCAAGACTTTCTTCAAAACGGCTCCAGATATTTGGATTTAACCCCTACTGATCCTCTACTTGAAACTTACATTCTTACAAGAGTATAATACATATAATACATTTGCTGGTGTTTGTATGAACCATTACATTTTCCTTATTCTGTCTTAACTTTGCCTAGACCAGTTTTTCTAGCTGGAATTTTTCTTCCCATTCTAGTGTCCCCTCCCCATCACTGCACACACACAAAATTTGTCTTTCAAACATATTTCAAATGCTGTGCTTTTAATAAACCTTCCTCTAATCCCTTAAACAGATGGGAGCTTTCCTATTTTTAAAACTATCACTTAGAAAAACCTCTTTCTATAATTTTTTTCTATAAATTTATACATTGCTTTTTTTAATATTTATAACCATAGGATTATGTTTATATATGTTTGTAATATGTGTTTGTTTTCTTCATGTATTTATAACCATATTTCTTGAATGTGTTATATGTATGTATGTGTATGGTATATTTTTAACTATATATCCGGAAATACCTGTTCTAGTATCATAGGAGGCAGAATACAAATATTTGTCAAATAAAAGATCATTTCACTTGTACGAACAATTGTGTTCACTTTTCTAAAAGTGAATGAATTACATCAGGCTTCAGAGTGTAGTATATTAGCAGATGTAAAGTAAGAATGAAAAAGTCCGCCCTTTAAATTGTCCGCTTATTGTAGCAAGAAAAATAAAATTTAAAATCTACATTTTCCACCTTCTCTTAAAATACAGATCTAGTAAATTCAAGTACAAATTTCTTATAAAAATGATAAGCTTACAGAATGGATAAAATACTTCATCTGGGTTGACTGACTTCTCTTTTCTCAGTACCTTTTATATTTAACTTGTGTTTGAAGTTTCTGTCAGTAGGAGAATTACAGTGAACTTGTTTTCAGACATTTAGAAGTATCAGTAGTTTTTGAGTCATGCCTTGAATGAATTACTGCCATTCTCTTAGTGGACATTATTGCTTAGTGTCTCATTACCAATTTATTACTAGTATTAGGAAAGCACTTCAAAATGCACACTAGTAATTTTTTAAGCCTCTAGTGGCTAAGAAGGAAAAAAGAAGTGTTTATTCTTTTTGATAAGCAATAAAATAGTCATGATAATTTACTAACTTGTCTTGAATGAGTTTAAAACTTGGAGAAAATTACTGATTTATATTTATGATTCATGTATTCACCTGACAGAATGCATCTAGTTATTTGGACAGCTATTGGATTAGTGTATACTGCTTAACTGATGTCTATTTCAGTACTTAACATTATGAATAAAATTTTGTATTAGTTTTGGGACATAAAATAATGTTGTTGACACACTATAAACTAGTCATAGTTACAGAGATTAAACACATGAAATAAGACACTTGAGGGACCTTAGGTTTCTGCTTGGATTCATTCACTGGAATTCAGATTTCTGCTCAAATTTCTAAAGAGCTTAGAATTCATCATTCCTGTCGTCACAATAGGAAAAAAGCTAAATAAACTGAAAATCAATAACTCCTCTTAGCTCTATCAGAGAATTGGTATCACAGAAGCAAACTAATAGGGATGCCCTGCAACCTGGAGAGACAGGCAAATAGAGAATCACCGCTTATGGGAGCAGAAGTAAGTGGAGCCACATAAACCCTAATTGATGAACTGCTGGAGACTGAACTAGCTTGGGAGTTAAAAACTCCTGGGGGCCGTCTTAGGTTCTTCTCACCCTCTACTTTTGTGATTTTTGTTATCTCTAGGTTGCCAACCAGCTTCTCACAGTAAAGACAGAGAAAAATTCCCTTCTGCTTCTAGCAGGGGGAGAAATAGCCATTTTGAAATACACCCAGATAGAAAGTAACCGTATTGAAATATACCCAGAGCATTCTGTTCTCCACCTGCCCTCAACGGAAGCTACTTCACCAGAGCTTAACCTACTTGGGAGAGGAAAAATCTTCAATTTTCCTGTTTCACCTAAGCAGAGTGAGGGGGGCAGAGAAGCATTTGTGAAGGTCACAGACTGAAACCTAATCATAGGAGTGTGGGACACTCTCCCCCATTACCCCCTCAAACACACACACACACACACACACACACACACACACACTCTCTCTCTCTCTCTCTCTCTCTCTCTCTCTCTCTCTCTTACTTCTCTACCTTCCCACACAACATCAGCAGGGCTCCACCACCACCACCTCATACCTACACCCTTACCTTACCCCACCCTACCAGCACCCCTCAAACACACACACACACACACACACACACACACACACACACACACACACACACACACACACACACACACACCTTTCTACCTTACCCCACCATATCAGCCGGGTTCCTGTAGAATATTAACATTTTATCTGAAAGAACTGCAAGGCTCAGATTGTGAGAAGGGATTTCTAGGGAAACCCAAAGACAACAGAAGATCAAAAAAAAAAAAAAAAAAAAAAAAGGATATTAGAGGAAATTGAAGACTCAGACACCTGTAACAACACCAAATTATAAGCACAGCATAATGCCTAGCATGATAAACATAAAACCTTACAGTAAAGGCCTATTCAACCCCAGTTCCTACTACCCAATATAGAGTTTCTAGCTTTCAACAGAAAATTACAAGCCATGCTGAAAGGCAAGGAAAAAACACAGTTTGAAGAGATAAATCAACCAACAGGACCACACTGATATGGCAGGGATTTCACAATTATCAGACTGGCAGTTAAAATAACTGCCATTAATATGCCAAAGGCTCTAATGAAAAAAAAAAAAGCGGACAATGTGAGAACAAATGGTTAATATAAGTAGGGATATTGAAACTCTTAAGAATCAAAAAGAAATGCTAGGATTCAAAAGCACTGTGACAAAAATGAAGACTGCCTTTGGGGAGCTAATCACTAGACTGGTGACCAACAGACAGCTAAGGAAAGAATCAGTGAGCTGGAAGATATGTCAGTAAAACTTCCCAAACTGAAATGCAAAGAGAAAATAGAATGGAAAAGAGAAACAGAATAGCCCAGGACTGTGGGACAAAAGGTGTAACATGTGCATAATGGGAACACCAGAAGGACAGAAAGAAGCAGAAAAAATATTTGAAGTAATAATATTTGAGAATTTTTCAAAATTAATAACAGGTCCCTTTCTTTGTAATGATCATGGTTCAATACTTGGTAAGTAGCTGCTACTAAAAGGGGTGGAAAACAAAAATGAGGCATATTGACAGGAGCTCAAAACTGATGTATATAATAGCTGGTGGGTTGATCTGTGTTTACTGTGCTAATTGAAACGTTGGTTAATTTTTTTGCCGTTATCTGTAGCCTCATATCCTACCACCATTTAATAGAGCCTGATCTAAATATTCTTATATTGATGTTCCCCTGAATTTAGCCAACTGATATAGAATATATTATTATGTCGTGGAGGTGAAGTGGAAAATTTTAACAGTAATAAGATTTTCGAGGTCAAAATTCACCTTTCATTCTTCATATAGCCACAGCATATTCAAACTTAAAACTAATTTTTAAGCAGAGAAAAACTTAAATTTGTAATATGATAGAAAGAATAGTATTAATTGTACTATCACAGACAGATCACTTAACTACGAATGGATCATATATAACTCTTTAATTAACAGCATTCTGAGCATTTTCTGATAAGTTATAAAGGTAATTTGTCTTTTGCTTAATAAAAATTAGTTTAAAAATTTTTAAATTGTTGTAAAGACTTCTCCCCTGACTTCCTTTTACCTTATTTGAGAATCATTGAATTAGTTAAAATCATTTATTTCTATAGGAAATGATAGACTGTCAGGATGAGGAAACAGAAGAGACACAAGAAAATGACTCATTTAGAACCTAAAAATTTACTGTTTTTTTTTTGGGGGGGATGGAGTTTCGCTCTTGTTACCCAGGCTGGAGTGCAATGGCGCGATCTCGGCTCACCGCAACCTCCGCCTCCTGGGTTCAGGCAATTCTCCTGCCTCAGCCTCCAGAGTAGCTGGGATTACAGTCACATGCCACCATGCCCAGCTAATTTTTTTTTTTATATTTTTAGTAGAGACGGGGTTTCACCATGTTGACCAGGATGGTCTCGATCTTTTGACCTTGTGATCTACCCGCCTCGGCCTCCCAAAGTAGAACCTAAAAATTTAAAGCCACAGTTTTAGATTTCAAGTTGTCTGACCCTTTATCTGATACTCTAAGAACTAAGCAGTATGTTCTGCTCAACTTTTCTGCAGCATTTGTTTGTTTTCTCAGTTTTTAAGGCCAGTCTAGTTTGTGTCACTTGACTGTGAGACAGTATTTAAAAGGCTACATTTTCTTTCACTTTAACAGAAAAGTAGCAGCTCTGAATCCTTAAGTGACAAAGGTTCTGAATTGAAGAAAAGCTTTGATGCTGTGGTATTCGATGTTCTTAAGGTTACGCCAGAAGAATATGCGGTAAGCCTCCTATCTCTGCCTTCTCCAGTTTTGCACATGATTTACATGTTAGTACTATTGAGTTAGAATTTGTAGGTCCAGCAAAAGAGATGGCTTTTAAGAAGCTATATGAGAATTATTGGGGAAAATAGTACAACTATGGGGCAATCAGAGGGATAAAGTGGGAAAAGTAGGAAAAGCTGTACATTTTTTTTTTAGGGCAGCTTTATAAGTTACACTGAATTGGGTAAGTAACAGTGTGTGATTACCATTATGGTAATTGCTTTCATCCCTCTATACCGTTTCTCTAAGCCAACTGTATTTTATTGACATATCTAAGAAACACTCACTGTTCTTTAATTAAACAATTGAAACATGAAATGTGAAGGTGTTATTGCAACATCATGAAAGGTATCTAGAAAAACATTTCTTAACTAATATAAATATATTTGTTTTCTCATTCTCCTTTAATTTGTTAGCAGAATATAATGATTTCCCAATGTTAAACCACTCCTGCATTCCAGAGATAAACCATGCTTGGTCATAGCGTATTATTTCCTTGATATTGTTGAATTTTGTTGTATATCTATAGCCATAAGTGGGATAGGTCCATGACATATAAAGCTCTGAGATATAATGTGTTGGCTTTAGTGTAGTTTCATTATTTATTTATAAGTTAGGAAGAAAAGCTTTTTAGTAATAATTCGATTTTATACCGCTGAGGAGCTGTAATTTAATCATCATAACAAGAACACTGCTGCATGAATTAATAAATATGGTTTTATTTTTTGATTATAATTTAATGTGTCCAATTTCTAAAATTATTTATATTTTTTAACTTTACACAATTTATCTTCCAAGAAAATACAAATAGACATTAGATAATTAGAAATAATTTTATTTAATGGTACAGGGGCTACATGTTGTTTTCTATAAGCCCTTATAAAATTGAATATTCAGTAAGAATTTTAGTATAGAATATAATTTTAATTTAGGTTACATGTCTTGGTATAGCATTCCAAAGAAGAAATTGTCATTTTTACTTTTTATTTCAGGGTCAGATAACATTAATGGATGTTCCAGTATTTAAAGCTATTCAACCAGATGTAAGTAGTTTTGAGAATGTTCCTTATTTTTAAGTATAGAAAACGATCAATCTCAAATTAAGATGTTTTAGAAATGTTAAATTATACTTCATGTTAATTTTAAAATGTTTGAAACTTGTATTATAACTTATCTACATATTATTTGAGCCTCAGAAACCCATGTGGCATTCTTAGCAATACATCATTGAGTCATAAATGGGACTATACTTGACCCTTGAACAAAGCAGAGGTTAGTAGCACTGACCCTTGCTCGGTGACAACTCGGTCTATGACTTTTGCTTCCCCACAAACTTAACTACAAATAGCCTGCTGTTGACCAAAAGCCTTACTGGTAACATAAACAATTAACTAACACATATTTTGTATGTTATATATATTGTATACTGGGTTCTTACAATGAATTAGAGAGAAAATGTTACTAAGAAAATCATAAGAAAGAGAAAATATATTTACTATTCATTAAGTGGAAGTGGATCATCATAAAGGTCTTTGCCCTCATTATCCTCCCAAGGAGTAGGCTGAGAAAGAATAGATTTGTTCTGCTATCTCAGGAGTGGTAGAGGTGGAAGAAAATCTGTGTATAAGTAGACCCATGTATTATTTACAGGTTAGCTGTATTTGAATCATTTTGGTTGATTTGGCTTCATTACTTACTGGAGGAAATAGACTTAGGGAAGTTGAATGATTTACCTATTGCTTTGAAGCTTTTTTAATGGGAAGATGGAAATTTGAAACTGGATTTCACCACTAACTCTAGTAATCGTTTCCCTTATATCTTTATTTTATGACTTAATATGATTGTCTGACATTTTGGAGAGAAGAGAAAAGATAAACACATCATTTGTTTTTAACAAAAACAAAAGGACTAACATTATGCATCTATTCACTGTAAGCATGTAGTTTGTGTGTGTATAGTTTTCCTATCATTTTCACATTCTGAGTATGATGGTATCTCTGTTTTACTGATGAGGAAACAGAGTGATAGTTGTCTTTGGTACACAACTAAGTGGTGGAACTGGGTTTCAGACTCTAAAATCTGATTCTTTTTTTTCTTAACCTCTTATGCAGTAAGAACATCAATGTGATTTTGTATCCTAAAACAAAGTCATTGATAATCCTGAAATTCAATACTATAAAATAGATACTGTTTTAGTTCTTTTGGGAACAAAATATAGTGTATTCATTATGGTGTATATACAAGTCTATAATGGCCCTGAACACTATAATGACTATGAGTTTCCATGTATGTCCTATGTGATTTAGGCCGTATTAGTCCTGTGATTTTGAAGTAAGTTATTTACTGTTTTAGTATCTCCAGTTCAGTTCCTATAAATGACGGGATAGGAAATGATCTCTTAGTCCCCATCATTTCCACAATTCTGTGTTTTCCTAACTTTTCCCCCATACCACAGAGGGCTCTTTAAATAGAACCATTGGATTAGTGGTAAAAGAAGAACAATGTATTCTGTAAATGAACAAATAGAAAATGACTTTTGTATTTAAATTGCAAAAAAGAAAACCCAGAAATATTTATTTCCTCACCTCTCTGAAAAAAAAAATTTTAATGAAATTCTTTATGCAAATTACATTTTTTGGCCTGAAATTCACCTGTCTTCTCCTTAGACATATTTTTTCCTTTTGAATGAACTGCAACAATTGTATTGCTGCTTTATATGAGATCACTACTGTCCAGCATATTATAAGGTAAAAGGAAAGATGAAATTGAATTTAATGATTTTATTTAACCTGCTACATACAAAATATTATTTCAACTTGTAATCAGTGTAAACAATTAGTGAGATATCTTACATTCTTTTTTCTCTGCTAAGCCTTCAAATCCAACATATACAACAATTACAGTACATCTTTATTTGAAGTAGCTATATTTCAAGTGCTTAGTAGCTACTGGTGGCTAGGAGCTTGGATATTGAAGATCTAGATAATACTACTTGAAGACATAGAATTCACATCTATGGGAATTTTTTATTCCCTTGGGACTTCTGACCAAAGTACTTTGTGAAACTTAAAAATGAACCTTAAAATTCCCTTGGCGTTTACTCCACTTATCTTATCCCATTGATTTTTTTAACCCCTTAAGTACCTTATCTATCCAGTCTGCCTCTACTCCCAGCACCCCAATGTAAGATGCCGTCTTCTCTTAATTATTGCAGTGACCTCTTACTCGATCTACCTGCATTTACTCTGACCCCTCTAAATGCTTTTTTAGATTACCAGTAGCCATGATAATCTTTTCAGCATATAAATCTGTTCATGTGATTGCTCTGCTTAAAACACCTCATTGGCTTCCTGTTGCTCTGACGATACAGAACCATCTTAATGTGGCTTGTAGACCTGTTCGCAGGTCTACCTTCTACCTTTTTCTACCTTCTGCAATCCCATCTTACATCTTTCCTATCTCTTTCTTGTCTAATATATGCAAGCCTTCCTTTAGCCCCTCTCACCACTGAGCCTGTGCACATCCTGATTAACTCCCACCCATCTTTCAGTTCTCAGCTCTAGTTTGACTTTCTAAGGCAAGGGTTTTTTTTTTTATCTTTCTATCTTTTTCACTGGACTTGTCAATTGGAGTTTAACATTTGTGTTGTGATTCAACAAATACTTACTGAATGCCTACTGTATGCCTATTATATGTGATTTTTTAGATCTAGTTTAGTTGCTGAATGAAGGTACAGCAGTGAGTAAACACTAAAATTCCTGCCTTCCTGGATCTGATATTTGAGTGAGGTGAGCTAGACTGTGTCATGAAAAACATAAAGCACAGAGAAGAGAATAGGAAATGAGAGGGTAGTGGATGAAACCTTAGATAGGATGATTAGGAAGACCTTACTAAGAAGATGACATCTGAGTTAAGACCTAAAGGAGGTGAGAGAGCAAGCCATGTGGGTGTTGGGGAAAATAGTGTTCCAGGCAAAGGGAAAGCCAGGGCAAAGGCCAGTGAGCTACAGTGAGTGAGCAAAGGAGGAAATGTACTAGAAGATGAGAGGTAGGGTGAGGGCTAGATGGTGTGGGGCCCTGAGCATCATTGTGAAAAAGATGGGAAGCCGTGAGAGGGTTGTGAGCAGAGAAGTGACATTTTCTGCGTTAGGTTTTAAGTAGCTCTTTCTTTTTCTTTCTTGCTTGCCTGCCTGCCTGCCTGCCTGTCTGCCTGCCTTCCTCCCTCCCTCCCTCCCTCCATCCCTCTTGCTTCCCTCCCTCCCTCCCTTTCTCCTTCCTTCCTTTCCTTCCATCTTTCATCCTGTCCTGTCCTGTACTCCCTCCCTCCCTCCCTCCCTCCCTCTCTCCCTCTCCCTCCCTCCCTCCCTGACCTTCTCTCTTTCTTTCTTTCTCTTTCTCTCTTTTCCTTTCTTTCTTTCTTTCACAATCTTGCTTTGTCACCCAGGCTGGAATGCTGCAGTGGTGTGATCTCAGCTCACTCCAACTTCCACCTCCCGGGTTCGAGGGATTCTCCTACCTCAGCCTCCCTAGTCCCTAGGACTACAGGCGCGTGCCACCACACCCAGCTAATTTTTGTATTTTTAGTAGAGACAGGGTTTCACCATGTTGGCCAGGCTGGTCTCAAACTCCTGGCCTCAAGTGATCCGCCCATCTCGGCCTCTCTCAAAATGCTGGCATTACAGGCGTAAGCCACTGCACCTGGCCTTAAATAGCTCTTTCAGACTGCTGATTAGGGTATGTGGCAAAGTAAGCATAGGGCAAGAAGACATGGGGTACCAAGAACTGAATCAAGGAGACCAGGTGAAAGATGAAGGTGGCTTAGATCAGGGTGGGAATGGAAGAGATAATGAGAAGTTGCCAGACATTGTATGTGAAATAAGAGTCAAGTATGACACCAAGGTTTTTGGCCTGAAGCCAGATGCATGTAGTTGATACTCTCTGGGATGAAAAATTATTATTGTCCTCTACAAGCCCTAGGGGTGCTATTCATTTAAAATATAATGTATAATGCACGCTTGTGGAGAAAGGCTAGAGGAACAGATTTTGAGGCAAGAGCAAGAGTTTGGCTTTGGACATATTTACTTTAACATGCCTGTTAGACAGCCAAGGAGAAAGTTGAGTTAAGGAATATATACTGGCATATGTTTCCAGTCCAGTCTAGAAATACAAGTTTGGAAGATGTCAGTGTAGAGGTAGTATTTAAAAGCGTGGGTGAGATTTTCAAGAGAGTGAATGGGGTACTTGATTTGATTGCCTCTCCACTAGATTTTAAGCTATGTCAGGGCTTCCTGTTGCTCTGAGGGTAAGGAACCATCTTAATGTGGTTTGTAGATCTCTTCACAGTTTTACGTTTTCTACCTTCTGCAACCTCAATTTTTGCTTACTGTTTTATCTGACTGGCACACAGTGGAAGCTCAACATTTAGAATGAGAGAATGAACATAGTGTTTAGTAAATGTTTGCCCAGTGAGAGAATTTTTTAAAACTTGACAGCAGTAACTATTGGAAGAAATGTAGCACCAAAATACTTTTAGGTGTTTTTTGGAGACAGGGTCTGACTCTGTTCCCCAGCTTGTAGTGCAGTAGTGCAATGACAAGTCACTGCAGCCTGGACTTCCCAGGCCCAAGCAATCCTCCCACCTCAGCCTCCCCAAGTAGCTGGGACCATACGAATGTGCCACCATGCCTGGTTAATTTTTTATTTTATTTTTTTAGAGATAGGGTCTTGTTATGCTGCCCAGGCTGGTCTCAAACTCCAAGGCTCAAGTGATTCTCCTGCCATGGCCTCCCCAGATGCTGGGATTACAGGTGTGAGCCACTGCACTGAGCCAAATTATTCTTTTTTTTTTTTTTTTTTTTTTCTGAGACAGAGTCTCGCTTAGACACCCAGGCTAGAGTGCAGTCGCGCAATCTCGGCTCGCTGCAACCTCTGCCTCCTGGGTTCAAGCAGTTCTCCTGTATCAGCCTCCTGAGTAGCTGGGACTACAGGCACCCGCCACCACGCCTGGCTAATTTTTGTGTTTTTGATAGAGACAGGGTTTCACC